CTCTGCTGGGATTTCTATTAAGTGTGGAAGCCAACCTTTTCAGTTGCTCACCAGTGCACTTTTTCTTTCAACAAACTGGGGGGGGGGGAGAAGCAGGAAAACGTGGACCTCTCTCTCTCTCTTCTCAGGTTAACCTATCTTACAGGAGGATAACACGGAGGAGGGGAGAATTATGTATACCACTGAATTTTTTGGGGGAAGGGAAGGGTAAGATACAAATGTGAGACAGCTAGATAGACATGGGTTGTCGGTTTAATATTCGTTAAGTGGTACATGGTTGCTGATGTAGGGACCATTAACAACCCTGTCTGTAGTGGCTTTCAGTAATCTATGTAGCTATGCAATCCCTATATGAGCATAGCTGCTCGTTAAAATCTTCCTCCAAGTTCCTTCCTTTAATTCCTCCACTTCTGAAATGTGCTGAGTGAGTGACCAGGGACAGAGCCTTTCTGGTTGTGACCCTGTGCCTTTAGAATTGCCTCTCCCATGGTAGTCGCTTCCTACCTGCTCAATGAGTGTTCAGGAGACAGTCTTTCTGGTTCGTCAGGCTTTTCATTGATTTGATCTGTCTTCTCTCTAATGTGCGCCACTAATTGGAGACTTTTGTTTTCGTTGGCTTGTGTTTTTACTGTAACTGGTGTCTTTTTTGTTAATTGTTCTAATGTTTTGAATGCTGTTAGCTACTTGGGGCAAATGGTTCATTTCAAAATTTGGGTTAGAAACAATTTTAACAGATAAATATTCACCCTGAAAGTGAATATTTATTCACACTGTATTTTTGGTGCTGGATCCTTGGTTGAGCAAATAATAGCTAAAAAGTATACTGTATACCAAATCCTGTGACAGTGTATCCACTTGATTTCAAGACAAATCTTATAATTACAATCAACTATAAAATGTCTAAGTTAAATGTGTTATGAATGCTACACCCATGCAAAAAAATCACGAACAGTAAAGAAGAGGGGGCAGGCAATAAATATATTTTTCCTTCTCTAACTCTAACCGGATATAACCCCACCAGGAATAAGCCTGCATTGTGGGGAGGGCGGGGTATGAATGCAATAAATAAATAAATAAATACCACCTCACCCCTGCTCCATCAAGTTACCTTTGGGGACACCACATTGCCTCAGCTGCTGCTGTAATGATGGAGACTTGTGAAAAAGTTTACACTATAGACTGCATGTAAAAAATATATGTGAAGAATAAATATCCTTATCTTCCAAAACCAATTCTTGGCCTGTAAGCTGTGAGTGGTAGGGCTGCCAAGTGGGGGCGGGTAAACTTCCGCTTCGGAGGCCCGATTTCCGCCGCTGCAGAATCGGGGCCCGGGGGGAACTCCGCCTCCCCCGAAGCGCAGCGTGGCTGCGTCACCAGAGGTGACGCAACCACTTCAATCACATTGGGGGCGTGGCCCCAATAGTCAGAGGGAAAACTCTATGGTTTTCCCTCCGACGATCGGGGCCACGCCTTCAACATGATCGACGTCGCGCGTCACTTCCGGTGACGTGCTGGCAGCGTGCGCGCACACATCGAAGAACGGCTCCCGGAGCCTGGCAAAACTTCCCCGCGGGTAAGAAAATTTGACTTGGCAACACTAGTGAGTGGGTCGATTCAATGGAAGGGTAGTGTTGGGTTCTGAGGGAAGATATCAACAAGCAAACCAGCAATTTCCCCTTCTCCTTCCCTCACTGTCTCTTGTTCCCTCCTTTACCTTTGCTTCTCTATCCTCCCTGTTCTGTGTTTGGCTGAAGGTTTCTTTATTAACAGTATGGCAACAAACGTGACTATTGGAATAAGGAATAACAATACTTAACTAAGCTGTTTCTAGAGCTCTAGGCCAGGGTTGTCCTGGCCTGGTTCTGCCGATTCTTAGCAGGCCCTCCACTCCTGCAGGCTGCTAGCAGGGAGACTGAGAAGAGAAGCACTGGGTCCCTCCTACTCTCCTGCTTGCTCTGAGGCCTACTGGGATAGCCTCTTAAAGAGGCAGTACACAACACCCTGTGCATCAGCTCTGGTTCCCGCTCACCTTCCTTTCTCTCACCCTTGTTCTCTGACACTGCTTCTTTACCCTTTCTTCTCCTGCTCAAGTTCTTTTCACCTCTCTCCAGCCTCTACTACATACCTGTGCCATGCAGCTATGTGGCAGATGCCCAGCTGCTGCTGCTTTGCAGAAACTTCTATTTCTAAGACACTGTAACAACCCTTGGTCTCCATTTTAAGAAAACGACCACCTGCAGACTTTGTGCTCTTCCACCATACTTTAGAAAATCTTTTCCTCTTTTCCATATGTTCCTCCTTCTCCATTTTTGTACTCAACAAGCACAACGAAGGGCTCTCAGTAGGGTTGCCAGCCCTCTAGTCTGGGTGGGGGTTTCTCCACTTTTGTGGGCTCCTCCCTACTACTGACAGGTAGATTTGGGCTCAAACCATAGAGTGTTGCCCAAAAACTAGAGTACCGGATATATCCCCACCAGGAATAAGGTAGGACCTGGCAACCCTAGCTTGTCTTCGCTATTTTGTAATATTTAGGTTGGTCCTAATCCTCCCCCCCCCCCGTTACTTTGGGACTGCTTCTTGGTGACGCCACAGCGCAGGTGAGCATGTGGGTCCAGGTGGCAGCCACACACTAGTAGCAATCTTACAGAGACTACTCTTGCTTGGTAGACAGGTGGGGAAAATGGGGGGAAAGGACCCACTAGGAGTAAATTCTCAGAGATGTGGCTGCCATCTGGTGGAGACTCCTCTGTAGTTGCTTAACCTCAGGCAACAACATTTCTCTCACCATCCATTAAGCTGTGGGAGGGCAAGTCTCCGTGCATTTCTTTGGGGCAGGAAATATGGCTTAGAAGTCAATTCCATCACCCCATTTGGACCCCGTTGGAAGGGAGCAAGTGGCAGTCCGTTTGCTTGCCTTCAGTATGACTGCCAGCCCTGACTAGTTGTGAGCTCACACTAAATGCTGCTTTCTACTGGCAACATTCATCAGGAGGACAGAATACAAACATAACCTTGGATACTGTGGGTTTTTAAATATTGGGCTGAGTATTTATTTAATGAAAACTTTTCTCTATATCTTGGGAACCTCCATGATGTGCAAGATCACATCCTTTACTTTCTCTGAGTCTACTATGCCCACTGCATCCATATACTGAGTCCCTACTTTACAAACATGGGGAGTGGTGATGGTGATTTATGTAGCACTACACAGTTGTACCTTTTTTCTCATTACCAAATGTGTGAGAAGTGGCAAAAACCACTTCTTGTTTTCAAACAGATAGGTGGACATAGGTCAATTTGGTGCTGGATTGATTACTAGTTTTGCTATAAGACAATAACATTTTAGCTTCATCATTTGTTTCACCATATTTAATTCCCTTCTTCATTTAACATGCAGGTTGTCATTTACAGCTAGCTAATCAACACCTTCCTACTCCTGACTTCTTCAAACTGAATACATTCTTTTACCAAACCAAATTAGTACTATACACATACAAGAATACTCTGACCTACAAACTATAACACAGTATAAGCCACCAACAGCAAATAATTAACTTAAAGCAGAGGATCTTTTGTACTTCTCCAGCAGGTTAAAAATAACCATAATGAAAATTAGCATTGTTAAGACATTCTAATAGTGACTTTATTTGGGTAGTTGTGCATTCGCATTTCACAAGAACTGTACCTAGAAACTGCTGAAAGTATTCCTTTCTAATGAAACAATACTCTCCAGATATATAGACCCACCAGGGACCACTAGTCACATGCAACATGCAGGGGCAGAGCTACATTAGGGCCAGGTGTCATAGCTCAAATGGAAGTAAAAATATATATTTCTGTTTAAATTCCATGCAATCATTAGTACTGGTGTGTTCGATTTGTATATGTTATGTCTTACAAATTAGTACAAACTGGTTTTCAGTTTATGCAAAGAGCACTGTAGGCTGCTAAAGTTATTTGTTATGGGCTTTCGTCTTCAGGGATGGCTCACTGATCAATTAAATGGGTAGATTTTCATTAATTTTAGGCTGTACCCACACCTCATTGGATAGTGTGCTGTTACTGTGCTATAGCAATAATCTGCAAGAGGATTTTCCTTGGTGGAGACAGTCCAAAAGATGAATAATTGCTATAGTGCCATATCCAATGAGAAGTGGATGCAGCCTTAGTTGGGCTACATCAGTGCAGAGTAGTTCACAGGAGCATAAATGCTCTGTGAATTCATGTGTTAAAAATGAAAGAGATACTGGGCCACACTTCATGGCCCTGATGCATCGACAACAGAATTTGCTATTGAATTATGAGTTTATTCTTTCAAGTATCCTCCCCTCCCAATCCAAGTTCAAAATTCAGACAATTTGTTTTCACAAAACATGAACGAAAGACTCAGGAATAAAAATAAAATTAACAGTTCAGATCTTAAGAAATTTCAAATGAAGATTTCTTATAAGTAGAAGTCATGAAAAAGTGGCATGTCTTGAGAATTTCATCAGCATTTTAATGATTCATCTGAACTGTATTATAATTTTATTACATCACCACACTACAAACAGAATTACAATGAACATGACTTCTGTCTGACTATATTGTTAGTTACACATTAACAAGAAAACCAGTCTTCCCCAGTAGGGCATTAAACAGAAAATACAAAAAACAAAAAAAATGAGAATTAGTTTAGCTATTAAACAGTGCTTTAAACGAAAAGCCAGACGGTAAATGTTTTGATAGTTTTAGAGTTGTTTTCTTTTTAAACAACTTTCCTTGATTAGGATGTGTCTTATCGCCTAGTAAGTTTGTACTCTATTCCTGTTCTACCAGATCTGCTAAGGAGAATACCAGTCATGTGAGTTAAGACAGCACAAATTAACTCCTTAAGTATTATTGCAACTCCAGCCTCTCTTTATAAGGAGTACACCTCTTAAGGAGCTACAAAAAGGAAAACAAAGATCAATAAAAACTCAACAATCCTAGCAATTTATAATGCATATACAGTTGTTCACCTGCATCCTTTTGATTCTCTATATGAAAGAGAAAGAAAGCAACAAGGAGAAAAGAGAGAGAGAGAGAAACAAGAACAGATATGCAGGATTAATGAGCAAGTGGATCAAAATGCCCCCCAGTTATGTGTGATATATGACATTCAAAAAGAAAAAGCTGCACAATCTCTCCCACCACCCAGGAGCATGGGGATAATCAAAAAGGACTTCTTCTGCCAAGGTAAAATTTAATGTTGCACAAAGAGTATAGGTGTTGGTTTAAGCTCTGAGAACACACACTAGCTATTGGACTGATAAATATATGAAAAATGCCTGATTCAGAGCTTGGTATTAAAAATTTAGGAGAGCACTCTGCTTGAAAAGATAACAGACAAGAGATATGTAAGATCTAATGGATAGCAAGGACATTTTTCTGTGGTCCTGTACACAGAACTTTAAGAATTGTATGCACATTAAGGAAAGAAAGGGATGGCTCTTTCCCAGTGTCTTTTATCTGGCCACTAACTCATTGCTCCCCCGTGTAGTTGCTACCTTTTGATTGTGTACCAGTGACAAGTGTTTACAAATTGGGGTTACACAGAAGCAAAGTAAAAATGCATTCAGGTCACAGACAGAAAGAACTGAAAAAACTTACAGACAAATTGGAGTTTGTCACAAACAAATACAGCTTAATTTTTCTAACCTGTTTTTTAGGCTGATAAAAAGTGACTGGACTTCTTACACTGGGACTTTCACAGACAGAAGCAACAGACAAGCCAATGCTAAAAGACTTGAAGCAAGGAAAGTGAGTTGGTTTGGCTCTGGATTGTACTGAAGTAATGAAAACAGAAAAAGAGTGAAGACAGCATGGAGAGCAGGGTGGAAGGTACTCACGAATGGTTAAATCCATCACTTGAGAGGCCAAGCAGAAGACAGGATGCTCATACATTTCTCTCTTTTTCCCTATAAAAGAGGATTTGGGCATGCAAGAGGCTTAGGTCAGAGGTAAAGAGGTTATAGGTCATAGGTCAGAGGAAAACTTTACATTAGCTTAAAAGAAAAGTAGCTGTAGAGTATTTTGGGATACACAGAGGATAAAAATAAAAAAGGAGATTTAAAATTGGAGGTTTACTGGATTAACCATTCAGCATGCTCATGAGTCACAAAAGAGATTGTGACCATGATTCTAAAGGTTTGTTCTGAATTGTTTGCAGGAATATAATGGTCAGAACGTCATGAACAGAAGGAAATAGAATTTTATCAATTCAAGGCTCCGAGATACTAAGGATTTTAGCCTTCAGTATCTAAGGCTTTCACAGGTATTTCTTCATAAACATAGCCTCAAGCAGGCTTGCTGCTAATTATTTAACTTAATTTTCATGTCCTCATGCTGCTTAGACTGAAGGAGGCATTTCATTTCCAGATTATAGACTCCTCCTCTAGAGAAATGGGTCAAACAATAGTAATTTTTTTAAAAAAATAAAAAAATAGGAACTCATAGTGAGCGGACTATGCTCATGAGAGAAAACCTGAGGCATGCAGCTTGCGGATGTTGGGTTGTTTGAATTAACAATCCCAGCATGCTTTGAAACTGACGCAACCACTTTTTATAGAGGCAGCATAGAAAAGTGGCTGCACCAACCACGAACAAGGAAGGAGAGAAGCAGAAGAGAGCAGGTAGTGTGGGATGAAGTACTTCTCTGAAAACAATAGCTGGAATTTTTAAAAAAAGAAGGAAACTGAACAAAGGTTTGTTGCTTCAAAGTATTCCCAGACCTAAAAGTCACAGTGCCGAAAAGAGGGCAGATAATTAACACAATCAAGAAGAATTGAGGCACAAAAGGAAAGTATAACTAACTGTTCTACATTTTGGGAAATGAATGCATTTTTACTTACAGATCATAAAGTTTGTTTTTGCATAGATATATCTGAAAGAAGAGAGCAAAGCTTACCGACAGAGTTAGTAAGTGTTATACAGGTACCTAGGGAACCCAGTGTCCGTTCAAAAGAGGGAGAAAAAAACACAACGAAACCCAAATCTGCCTTTGAACTGGAGTTCTCCCATGTTCTCATGGGGCATGTCTAAAGACTGAGATTTTTAACGGGAGTTCACCAATTAAAACCATTCTGTGAAGTAGAGTACTTTGGTAAAATGCTTGATAGCACAGTGCTCAAGAGACCTGCGTTCCTTCTCTATTTTCATCACTCATTACCAAGTCAAGAGTTGATAAACATCCTTTTAGTGCCCAATTCTTAAGCGTTTCTCACTGGATGCATAACAATGAATTCATTACCACTGGTACACAATTTGCATTGTCAACGGAGGGAGGGGAACATTGAAAAACAGAGGCGGTGTATAATGTACAGACCCTGGAAATATGTGACATATCACAATAATCGAGTCCTTCTGATAAGCAAGGACTAGGGAAAAAAAGAAATTGAATGGTGATATTGTTTTCTATAGTATTATTCTGAGTGAATGAGAACACAGCTTTAGTAAAGCTTCATTGTCATGTGACCAAACAATCAAAATATTCAGTGCACAATACCATTTATACATCTCACAGCAAGACATTTATCAAGTTTCAAATTACTACAGAGCAGCCGACAAGGTAGCAACGCAAACCAATTAAGATGTAAAGATTTATCTGTATGTATATGTCCCCTGCCAAAAGCATATCTTCAAGCAAGTTTAAAAATGTCTTTTTGATGGCTACATGTGTCTCTGGTCACTAGCTGTTATTCCTCCATAACGTAAAAGGTCAATAATATCAGCTGTAGTGAATTTAGAATGACAAGTATGAAATCTGATGCAAGTGCAGGGCCAACTCATTTGACAAGATCTGCTATACATAAGGGGGGGGGGGCAGAAAAACATTACCCAGTAAAACATTTTAAGTTGACTTACAAATCAATGAGTAACATTAAAAGATTTATTAATTCCTGCTATTTCTGTTGTTCCTTGAACTTCACTTGCACATCTCACAAGCAATTAGTTGCATTCACTTTTTTAGCTCCAAAAACGACTATGTTGCTCTTAGTTTTTCGCTTTCTAAAATCTGACATATATGAATGATTTACTGTTGGTTAAATATATCTGCTCTCCTGTAAAGTAACTAATCATTCCATCTAGTAAAAAAGGGGAAACATTTCACCTAACAGATGTCTTTAACATACAGTGGCAAATTATTTCACTTATTTATCCTGTAACAAAAGAATAGTTATGATATGCCCTGATTTTTTAAAGGCAGTTGTTGCTCTATTCCTCTCACTGAAAGGTTAATTTAAAAAATAAAATCACCTTACCTTCAATTTTGGCATACTCTGATAGCCGAGTATAGTTAATCAATGCAGCTTGTTCTAAGCATTTACGGATGACGGCTTTTACCTCCTCTTGAGGGACTGGAGTAACTATGTCTTTCATCAAAACCTTTGTACAAGAAACACTGATTTGTTGTGTCATCTTGATTGTTTTTTTTAATTTCCCCTACCCTCACAATGCCCTTCATATCCTATTGGATAGAATAGACAACAACAGACTTATTCATTGTTCATCTGAAACTACAGGGTTTGATCCCCAAATCCCACATCTAAAATGCATGCATTTTGAAACTGTATGAAGGAGTAGCTAGAAATTAGCTAACGATATGCATCTGGTAACAATTCTAGAATGTTCAGGTACTAAGATCAGATATATAAACATGGATTCCTGGATATAGCTACAGTTCACATGAGTCACAGTCAGAATGGTTAACCAATCCACCTTTACCAATGTATACTTTTGACTATTTACAAGGGGGATCAAATTTCAGAAGTATAACTATGTTAGTTTGGTGAAGAATCTGATGTAGCAGAATCTTGTCTATAGAACAGGAATTCTCAAACTTTTTGAGCTTGTGTACACCTTTGGAATTTATTTATTTATTTATTTTTATTCAATTTAATTAACCACCCCATTTCAGTTTACGCCAGGCTCTGGGTGAATCCTGATATCGCGTGGTAGGCATAACCACAGGAGGTGGAGACAACTACATAATGTCAGGGAGTGAGGTGATGCATAACTCTAATAGTAAATTTTCAACATTTCAGGCAGAAATTGTCAGCTACACTGCCATGGGGGTTGGGGAGCTCGGTCTGTGTCTGGTTAATTGCTACTGCATTCCTTTCTGTGCTTTTTCTGCTTTGCGCCAAAATGCTTATCTATACAGATGTGCAAGAGGGAGTTGTATTGTCTGGGTTTTTCCTAGGTGCCCTGGGAGAGTGTTGGTTCTCAGCTTTAGCTACCTAACGGTCTCCAAGCTTTATCCCGCATGCGGGAGGGTGCCTAATTGGCCAGTGCTCGGGGGGGGGGAGGTGCATACGAATACCCTATATCCTATTATGCCCATGGGGCCGCCGCCATTCTTAACAGTTATTATGTTCCTGCATATATAGCTCTGCAATAAAAGTATTGCCGTTCTTAAATGTGTGTACTTCGTTGTTGGCTGTGGGTTCTGACAGAAATACTGTTTGACAGAAAGCCTTTTAAACTGAACACTTGCAGCATACCTTCAGTCACACAATAAAGATTCTTGTGTTGTTGTGGCAGCTGCTGCCAAAGCAAATCTTTTTAAAATCTGCAGATTCAATCAGGTTTCCAATGGTCAATCAGAAGCCCTGCTTGGCAAAAGCCATATCTGGCCCTGCCCACTTTCTAAAAACACTTGGCAGGTGCCCGGAAAGTTGTTGACAAATGCCATACTGGGGCCCCTTCTGTAGAAGTTCATGCTGCAGTAAATGTGATAGGCTTTAAGGTGTCATAACCTACAGGACGCTGTTGTGCAGCTGATCCTTATGTTTTCCAAAGGATGAAAAGGAATTATGTAATGCTAAAGTCAGCTTTCCACTAGTTATTAATGTAAGGGGAAAAACAGGTACACGTCTCCAAAAGCTTGCAGTTCCATTAGAGCTTAAGAGAGAATGTTTACTTAGCCGTACAGACTAATATAGTGTTGTTTCATATAGTCAGGGTTTCATAGCATCAGCTACCAACTATGCTATTCAGTTCAAACTTGAAATCTTAGGAACATATCACTTGGCCAAAAGGCAGAACAACCCATGAGATGTGCCCCAGCAAACAACAAGTGCATTTCAGAAAGAGGTTCACAGCAGTGGAACACAAGAGACAATTCTTCACCTTGAATCATGCACTGCCATTATAATGCCGGGGAAAATATGCTTCTGACCTCAAATATATAATTCAAACTAATATACAGTCTACTGAGTGAAAAGAGCCAAATATGATAACTGGATTTCTTCACCAGCGATTCATCACCCTTATACTTACCCTTTCCAAAAGCGATAGTGTGGCTTTTAATGCACCTTCTGGCCGGCCAAATGGGAAGCAATACCTAGGGTAAACAGACAGCTTTTGAAGAAATATGCTAACAACTTTACACTGATGGGATAAAAAGGATACTTTCCCAACTAGTGGAAAGGCATGCCCTTTTCAAACAGCTTTCTTTATTTCAGACCCTAACATAGAGAATACAGAACCATTGGTAAGATCTGAGTCTGTAAAATAGCGCCTCTTAATAAGGCTGGAAATTCCATAGTACTAAGGTCTTAAAAGTCTGTGAAAGTCACAGAGCAATTGAAATCTTGGTGTAGCAGCTGAAAGATCCAACATCATATCGTGTAATTGATTTTCTTGTTCATCATATTACACTTTGTACTGCACAGGGTTGCACATAGTGAATTTGGGATTGCAGACTCGCAGAATAATCTGGAATGGTATATATGCGATTTCATTTCAGTGATCTATGCAGTATTGGAGTGATGTTAAACCAGTCAGACCATAATTTGTGGTAGAGTCTGGGCTTTTGTGAGTCACTGCTCACTTCTTGTTAGTCTTTAAGGTGCTACTGGACTCTAACTTTTTTTCTACTGCTACAGACAGACTAACATGGCTACCCATCTCGATCAGTCAGACCATTCTAGTTTTGGAATTTTGTCAGACATGATCACAGAACCATAGAATAGAATCATAGAATCATAGAGTTGGAAGGAACCTCTAGGCTCATCTAGTCCAACCTCCTGTACAATGCAGGGAATTCACAAATACCTCCCCCCACACCCCCAGTGACCCTTGTTCCATGCCCAGAAAATGACAAAAAACCTCCAGACTAGTAAACCAAGGGGGACATCTAGGTATTCCAAGCATGAGTCAAGGCTTTCTGATGGAATTCTGAAAAGCAGCAATGTGGTGGGAGGGGTCTGAATGAAGAACAGAAATATGATTTTCTGTAGAGCACTCAAGAGCAGCAAGCAAGACTGGCTCAGGCAGTGGAATCTGCATCACTCCCTTGTGTTAAACTGGAGAATGACTGCGGTCCCTCTAAAAATCTAGCTTCTTATGAGTTCAACTCAACACTAGTTAGGGGTGAGTAGGCAATCAGCAGATAGGTAAAGAAACACTAAAAGTTTAGAAAGAACATTATTTAATTACTAGGAGTAAGGCCCATTGTGGGAAGAAATACAACGAGCTCTAGAAGATGAGTGTCCTGACTGTGGCTGGTGGGGCAGCAAAGGGAAGGGGAAAATAGAGGGAGGCAAGCAATGTTTATTTCCTTCTGCTTAGCTATAAGACAGGGCTGTCTCAAGTCATTTTGCTGCCCCAAGTGGGTAGTATGGGAGGATAGCCTCATGGTAAAAGGTATGGTTCCCTCCACCCCTGACTTATGTTGATTTGGGGGTATGCAGTGTCAACTAAGGTAGAAAAGCACCTCCTCCTATGCCATGACTTCTGGGTTCCAAGGGTCTGGAAAGTGGTTCCATAGCCAGTTACAGGGTTGCCAACTCTGGGTTGGGAAATTCCTGTAGATTTGAGGGATAGAACCTGGGGAAGGCAGGGTTTGGGGTGCAGAGGGACCTCAGCAGGGTATAATTCCATAGAGTCCATTGCCCAAAGCAATGATTTTTTCCAGGAGAACTGATCTTGGAGATCTCCAGGTGCTGCCTGGAGGCTGGCAATACTAGGGGGAGGGCCAGACCTGTAGATTTGAGGGGTAGAGCCAGGGGAGGGGAGGGTTTGGGTTGCAGAGGGACTTCAGCAGGGTATAATGCCAAAGAGTCCACTGCCCAAAGCAAATATTGTAATAGCTGGGAAATTTTCTGTAGGGGAAATGATGTGCTGTGGCTGGGGAACACAGTGATTTCTGTGAGATCTCCAGGCCCCACAGGGAGATTGGCAACTCCAGTGACCATTTAAGGGAAAATTGAGATATGTATTTTACCTCAGGACACATTCAATGTCTCCCAACAGCAACAACAAATTGTTTAGAATGTTAGAGGCAAAAGCCAATCAGGCCGCATGTGCTCTGACTGGCTATTGTGGGGGAGAGGAACAGCAAGCTGTTTAGAATATTGGAGGCGAGACTCAGGCAACGCAGCCAGTGGATAGGGACAGCTTCTGAGTGACAGATCAGGGAGCCAACTGATTTGGGAGCGTGTGGAATGTTCAGGAGAGTCCATGACCAAAGCAGAATTATTACATATAGAGATACTGAGGCTATACTGCTTTTTGCTTTTTGCCTTTATCTGCATGGTTCAAAATGAATAATGATATAATATTTTGGTTCTGATTGAATACAAATCAAAACAAGCTCCTCACATCCCCCAACTCCTGACTGCATTTTCTTAATACTGACTTTTCCTAATACTGAATTTTTACCATAACTGGACCATGGTGAAGCTACAGCAATGCAGCCTTTAATATAAAAAACCAATAAGAAGCTTAGTTAAAACAGTCAACTAATAGCTGTCAAGATCACTAGTGTTATCTAAATACTTATGTACTATATTAAATTTGCTGCATATCTTCCTGTTATTTATGCAAGTATTTACCACTGCAGTAACTGAAATACAGTACGCTGGCTCTGTATTGGGATAATAAAACATCAATCATTACCTAAAATGTGTGATCTGGTTTTCCAGTAACAATCGCAGCCTCTCTTTGATTTCTTCAAAACGTTCCTTCTCTTCTACTGTTACAGTTCCTATTCCATCAGGCCTGAAAAGGAGAAAAGCTATTAATAATTCATATTTTACCTCATGACCCTTACAAATGATCTACTCTGTAAGTTGGAGGATTTAAAAAGAATGCAGTGGGGCATTTGTCATCCTGTATTTATAATGAAAATTATTATACAAATAAAGAATAGTCTTCAGATCCTGAATGTACCAAAACTCTGATTAGATGAATTCAGGACCTTCAAACCAAGGTTCAGTGAGGCTGTGTTCACAAAAAGCTCCCTCTAAGTTGGGTTTGCCCCATTCCATTCAAAGTTATGCATATACCTTCTCAAACACTCATATATTTGGCAGCCCTGCTTAGATGTCATTCTGTATTTGCACTGCATTCTCCAACTATACACAGAAGTTACTGGGCTGAGGTAACTGTGTTAGCTGGGTATTCAGTAAATATAGTATTAAATATATGATCTATATGAATGTCAGATCTCCCAAACCATTTTGGATGCTTAATAAATGCATATGCAGCACTTTTTAAATAAAAAGAAACGGAAGTAGTTTGCAGCACATTAAAATATAGCATGAATATAACTCATTCTAAATCAAATGAAACGTTACTATATAAATAGCACCATAGTGAAATCCCTATCATCCACAGGTAAGTTAAGCATAAATTGGCTTAATTGATACATGAACTGGGTTAATAAAACCAATGGCAAAAACATTTATTAGGACCATGGTTAAGAGATGATACAATGAGAAAAAGTGTACATCTGAAGAGTTATGAGATTTCTAAAAATGACCATTTCCTCTATGGAGGTATTTATAATTCTTGCTAATGTAGCAAAGTAATAGCATTTCTTTATTCCTAAAGGAAGAACAAAATTATTTTCCATCTAGCCCTGTTCACATGCTACACTGAACACATGTATATCCTCCTTGTACATACATGCATCTATTTGTAGGAAAGAGCCAACACACAAATGAAAACAGGGGTATTCGGATAAATGTGGGGTTGGTATCACACATTCAGCTGTATATGTGTTGACTCTAACATGAGAATTACTCAACACACATACAAAGAATAATCAAGTATTCAATGTTAATAGATTGTACATGTGTTTACTATAACTTGTGAACAGGGCCAATGTATTTTGGTAATATTGAATTTGACACACTTTTTTACCTGAATGAATAGTGCAGTATTGATATCCCTATTCCCATATACACTAGTGTATAGATTGTGTTGATAAAAACAATAGCAAAACCAAAAACTGAAGATCTGGGAGATCTCCAGTCTCCTACATGGCCAGTTATGCCTCAGCTTTCATATTTAATATACATTTAAATATATAAGAAGCCATTGTAAAAAGACAGAAGATACTCATCATTTCCATAAAGGCTATCCCACCTGATGTCAACAAATGACTGAATGTTAAATAACGAAACATCAGGTAGGTGAACCATTAAAAATCTG